ATAATTAAGTTCAGTCCTAGGAGGCCTCAAGGGTTGGGGGCGGGGGACACCTTCCAAGGACCTATTAAACCTTGGGGGAACACACCTGGATGCTTGCCACAGTTCAACCACTCTTGTAGCATCAAAGCAAAAGTTATTTTATATTACCCAAACCCTATTTTTAAAAAGAGTCCAAACTCTCTTCAAGATCTTCATGGTCTTCAGGAGTACAGACTTGAGTAATTTTGACTTGCGTAAGAGGAGAGTGTTCTTTCCTTTTGCCAGCTCTATTTTCTCTTGATTCAGGAGAAGAATTTAAGGCAGCCAGCATTAGTTCACCCGAGGCAGAGTCATACGTGGTGTAAGAGATTGATCTGTGTTGAACACACAACTTGCCCATAAGGAGCCAACAATATCTTATTCCTAAATCCTGCAGTTTGACTGCTAAACTGCAGGATTTAGGAATAAGATATTGTTGGCTCCATATGGGCAAGTTGTGTGTTCAACACGGATCAATCTCTTACACCACCTATGACTTCCCAATTTTGAATGGAAAGACAGCAAGTACCAGGTAATGACTGCTGACCCAAAAGTTGGTCACAGCCACTCCCCCATATTAGCTCTATTTGACCTGTTTATTTTTGTTAGTTGAGTTCCATACTAGTTATGTCCTCAACTTTGTGAGAATTTATCCTTACTCTTGTTAATACTCCAAGTTGATGATTATTATTATTAGTCTCAACATCTTCTTGTTTTTGTATATCAGTTTATATATCGGTATCTCAAGTTTAGGGTTGAAATTATATTTTCTTTTACATGTCAGTTGTGTTTTTGCCGTCATGGAAAAGTGTGTAGCATTAAGTAATTTCTCTGGGAGAAATAAGTTACAAAAAATTGGTCCTGGTACATACATTCTGCAATGATTTCTTGAGTTATTTAAAGTATCATAAATAGTCTGCTGGCTCTCTGTATTTGGGGGAAAGTTTCTAATTGAAGAGTGAAAGGAAGTTTGAGCTGTTCATATTGTCCTTTCACCACTGACCATTCTCCTGGTTGATCTCTCTATTGGTCTTACCTCTCCATTTGATGTAGTAGGAAGAGATTTTAATTTTCCTGGTCCTTTTTCAATTTTGTGAAATTGTTCATGAGAGAATCTGGAAGATCTTGACACTTTAGTAAGTACTCTGCTGGAAATAACTGCTCCTGAGCCACAATCAGTAGGTGTTCTATCGCTAGTGTTTCATAGTAGTGAGTGAACAGCCTCATCAACAAAAACTCTACTGACTGTAATTTCAAACAGTAAAAGGAATTTATTCATTTTTAACAACATCTGTGGAATGGTTAGCTGAGAGAAAGTGAGAAGCAGTCTCACCCCTAGCCGCAAATTCACAAGCTGTTCAACTTTAACAAGATCAACAAAGTGAGGCTCTGTTCTCAAAAGCTGGCTAATAGAATGTATTATTTTGTGCCTATTTTGCAAGTGACCATGATTCAAGCCATTTCCTGGAACACAGGTTGCTACCAGGTTGTTTTGCAGTCAATGGGACATTCCGTTAGCAAATTTCTGCCCAAGTTTCCCCTCATCTGTGAGCTTAGTAAAATGCAGCTTCTTGGATAAAGGAATTCTATTTCCCCCAGAATTGTATAGTACATGTCAGTTGTGTTTTTGCCGTCATGGAAAAGTGTGTAGCATTAAGTAATTTCTCTGGGAGAAATAAGTTACAAAAAATTGGTCCTGGTACATACATTCTGCAATGATTTCTTGAGTTATTTAAAGTATCATAAATAGTCTGCTGGTTCTCTGTATTTGGGGGAAAGTTTCTCATTGAAGAAAGGAAGTTTGAGCTGTTCATATTGTCCTTTCACCACTGACCATTCTCCTGGTTGATCTCTCTATTGGTCTTACCTCTCCATTTGATGTAGTAGGAAGAGATTTTAATTTTCCTGGTCCTTTTTCAATTTTGTGAAATTGTTCATGAGAGAATCTGGAAGATCTTGACACTTTAGTAAGTACTCTGCTGGAAATAACTGCTCCTGAGCCACAATCAGTAGGTGTTCTATCGCTAGTGTTTCATAGTAGTGAGTGAACAGCCTCATCAACAAAAACTCTACTGACTGTAATTTCAAACAGTAAAAGGAATTTATTCATTTTTAACAACATCTGTGGAATGGTTAGCTGAGAGAAAGTGAGAAGCAGTCTCACCCCTAGCCGCAAATTCACAAGCTGTTCAACTTTAACAAGATCAACAAAGTGAGGCTCTGTTCTCAAAAGCTGGCTAATAGAATGTATTATTTTGTGCCTATTTTGCAAGTGACCACGATTCAAGCCATTTCCTGGAACACAGGTTGCTACCAGGTTGTTTTGCAGTCAATGGGACATTCCGTTAGCAAATTTCTGCCCAAGTTTCCCCTCATCTGTGAGCTTAGTAAAATGCAGCTTCTTGGATAAAGGAATTCTATTTCCCCCAGAATTGTATAGTGTGTCACCCTGTCAAAGAAGAAGAAGAGAAGAGATTGGATTTATACCCCGCCCTTCACTTGGAGTCTCAGAGCGGCTTACAAACTCCTTTCCCTTCCCCTCCCCACAACAGACACCCTGTGAGGTAGGTGGGGCTGAGAGAACTCTGACACAAACTGCTCTTTTTCAAGGACAGCTGTGCCAGAGCTTGTGAGTGACCCAAGGTCACATCAGCAGGTGCAAGTGGAGGAGTGGGGAATCAAACCCGGTTCTCCCAGATTAGAGTCCGCACACTTAACCACTACACCAAACTGGCTCTTGGAAGGGGCACTACACCTTTGGTGCCAGCCCAAACAGTGAGGAGCCTGGAAGTACTGTGGGGAAGCCGGGTGGTCATCCCCAAACCTCTCAGGGAACGGGTCCTCACAGCTCTGCACGAGACACACCCAGGGGTCGTGCGTATGAAGGCCCTGGCCCGGAGCTACGTATGGTGGCCAGGGCTGGACAAAGACATTGAAGGAGTAGTACAAAGGTGCCAGCCATGTCAGGCCTCGCGGCTGGAGCCCCCCCGAGCCCCAGAACGAGCGTGGGAATCCTCCCACTGGCCCTGGTCGAGGCTGCACTTGGACTTTGCGGGGCCGTTCCAGGGCCAGCTCTTCTTCATCCTGGTCGATGCCTACAGTAAGTGGCTGGAAGTGGTCCCGGTCCCCTCGACCTCCTCTAAAGTGGCCATCTGGGCCATGTGGCGGATCTTCAGTGCCCAAGGAATCCCCAACACCCTGTGCAGAAGCCTGGTGCCCACATCCATGTCCCCTCGACCCAGGTACAGGACCTCCATCTTTGATGGATTTAACTTCAGCCGACTCTGCTGCAGCCACAGCTTCCAAGGCCTCCCCCAGTGTTTCAGGAACAGAAGACGGATGGCTGTCTGAAAAGTATGCAGATGGTGAGTGATTTCAGCTAAGCGTACCTTTATTTAGTCAGGAACAAGACAAGATACCCGGCTCACAGGCCGGCTTATATTCCCTCAGAGAAACCCACCACCAAACGCACACCCCACTCCCGATAGGCTATTTACAGTAACCAAGCGACCTATTGGCCTCTTGGCCTGGGACCTAGCCCTTTCATTGGGCCTGGCTAGGATCCTACTGCCCATTGTCTTTTGGTCTGAAGCTAGCTGTGTTTGCTGCCTGGACAAGCCCAGGCATGCCCGGCCCTGTAGGGGCCTGATACACTACACTGTCCATTAACAGAGTTGGGTGTCATCAGCATATTGGTGACAGCCCAGCCCATAACTCCGGACTAACTGGGCAATGGGGCACATATAGATGCTAAACAACACTGGCAAGAGGATGGCTCCCTGCGGCACTCCACATTCTAACGGATACCGTGGGGAGACCCTCTCGCCAAGTGCCACCTTCTGTCCCCGACCATAGAGAAAGGAAGAAAACCATTTCAAGGCAGTCCCCTGAACTTTTATGTCGGCGAGGCGGTGGGTCATAAGATCATAGTCGACCGTGTCAAACGCTGCCGTCAGGTCTAATAACAACAGCAGCACCAACCCGCCTTGATCCAGGTGTCTACAGAGGTCATCTGTAAGGGCAACCAGAGCCATCTCCATCCCGTAGCCAGGGAGGAAACCAGACTGGAAGGAGTCAAGGATGGAAGTGTCATCCAGGAAAACCTGGAGTTGTTCGGCCACTGCTCTCTCAACCACCTTACCCAGGAATGGTAAGTTCGATACTGGGTGGTAGTTTTGTTGAAGATTACCCAAGGGAAGCAGGAAACCTAAAACAAAACCTAGCTACCAGGGGTTACCCAGATCACATCTTAAAAACAGCATTTGACAAGGTTACAGCATGCAGAAGGGAAGATCTATTGCACAACAATAAAAGCAAATTGCAAATGAGACAATTACAGTCAGTTTGGCTTATAACCACATCTGTGTACATTTAAAAAAAGAGCATATATAAAAACTGGAATATGCTATATGATGTTCCACTTTGTGATTAGAAAAAACCCAACTATCTCTTTTAAAAGAACATCCATTTTAAAAGACAAATTGGTTCACAGCAACACCTTTGTTCCTATGAACCTACAAAAACTATTCCAGGAGCAGGTTGGTCCAAAGGCCATTTTAGATGTGGACATTGTAAGTGTTGTAACATAACAAAAAAATTGGAAAAGTTTTATCAGTCCCTTTGACAAAAAAAGAATATGTTTTAAACAAGTACACAACATGCAATTCAGATAGGGTTATATAAGCCATCAGATGTTCCTATAGTAAGATATATGTAGGAAGATGTCTAGAAAATTAAAAAATCATATAACAGAACATAGGAGCAAAATACTTCACAGAACAGTTGGTGCACCTTTGCTATGGCATTTTATGGTAAAAGAACATGGACCCACTGATTTCATTTTTTTTGGGGGGGTTGTATAATTAAATTAAAAAGTCCTTAAAAGGAGATGGAGTGGATTGTAAACTGGCCCCTCATGGGTTAAATTCTGATCTGGGACTTCTAACCTTGCTCAGCTAATCTCTGTACATAGAAAAACCACTATGTCATTCTTCACTAGTAAAAGAACTTACTTGCTGTGGACACTAGGTGAATGCTCTGGTCAGTATTTGTTTCATATATGTTTTTATTGTTTGTTTCATGTTCAATGTATAGTTTATTCATCATATTATATATTGACTCATATGTATCAACTTTTGGAACAAATTCTAATCCTGTCTTTTTAAATAATGTTATTTTAATACCCTTGTAATATTTTTTATTAAGGGGTCTTTCTATTCCTTGGATTAAATGTAAAATTATTTTTTATAGATTCCCCCGATGAAGCCTATATGGTGAAACATGTAGGGACTTTGTACAACAATAAATCAACCATCACCTGGCATTTCCCCTTTTTTGTTCTGTTGGCACATTGCTGGGTGCAGCCCATTTTTTCTTCAACATTAGAATGAAATGACAGTGAGCCAGGTTTGTTCACACACACCCCCTTTCTGTACATAAGATAACACTGGAGGTGACTCAGGTCACACTACAGGAAAAAACAGATCTTTCCCCCTCTGCATCCATGGTATCTAGAGAGGTTGGAATGGGGTCAAGTTTTTTTTATATTTGTTTCAAAATATTTGTCGTGTGTTCAATGGGAGAACAGTTCAGAATGTCTGGAACTTTCTCAGTAACTGCAAGTTCAGTTGAACAGAGTTTGAGTCCAGCGGCACCTTTAAGACCAACAAAGGTGTCTTTCACATTGCCTTAAAAATCCACTTGCATTACCTGATGCTAACGTGTTTTTTTCTTGTGTTCACAAAACTTCATAAACACCCAACACGCTCTCATATCTTCCCATTTCCCCCATTCCTAACAGAACAGGTTTCTCCTGCCCTTTTTTTTCAAAGTGAAATGTATTCACAACAAAGCCTCTGCTCTGTAATCTGAACTAAGTTTGTTGCATTGGTGACTTCTGGCACAACCCACCAGCCTGCCAAAATCTACCCAGAAAGGGAAGGCTGGTCTTAGCTTAATTTGTATCTCAATAGCGAAAAATTTCAGACATTGAAGGTGGCACCTTCATCTTTGCTCTGCCTTGGGAGCAAGCCTCCCTCCCTCCCTCCCTCAGGTCTGGTCTCCTCTATCTGCCTCTCTCTCCAAACTGAGAAAACTGGGATCATGTCCCCCTCTTCAGTACCAAAGCCAATGGTGTAAATAGATTAGCTTTTCTGCTTCAGCTCCTGCACTTTACACAGGAGTAAATGGGGCTACTCTCATGTAAAGAAGGTGAATAAACAAGGCTGCTGAAATGCTAAAACTCGATGTTGATGGAGACAAGGCGATCCTGTTAATGGGGTAATATCCCATTTCCACTTCTTCGGAAACACGTAACATACTGAACTGAACATAATTAATCTACAACTGAACATAATTAATCTACAACAAAACCAATACAGGCCACCAGCATACAAATATAGAAGCTATAAAATATATACATTCATTTAAAAAAACTCACCCATATTGCATTTACTCTTCCTGCTTCCTAGTTTGGTCCGATAAAGCTGCTCCAAAATGTTCAAAGAACTCTGTGTTGTAAGACAAAAGCCACCTGTTTAAAATATCATCAGTGATTTACCATCATCTAATTACTACCAGGTGGACTATAAATGACTCCTAATACATACCAAAAAATGCTTAAAGGGAACCTCTTATATGTAACATTTCCATCGCCACAGGAATGCTAAACAAAGTCCCTTTTCCTTTATTTTTACTACTTTTAATAGCTCTTTTGTTCTTCAAAATTACATGGATATTTTCTAAAGTTCATAATCGCCTATCCGGTTCCTTCAAACTTCTCCTCTGACTGTTTCCCGGTAAGCAAAACGTTTTTGTTACCTTGTTTGTTTATCTTTGGCTTTTACACTGCTTCCTTTGGTCCAAATTCTCTCTTTCTTCTTAGGAGGTCGGGAAATGGTGACTTTAAGCTGAATTCTCAGCTCGGTGTGCTCTTTTAGTGCTGATCGCAACGCCCGCTTCAGGAGAGGAGATCAAAGTGTAACACAAGTCTCCTTCGAGGCTTGATTACGCCAATCTCAACTCTAACTTGGGTCTTGATGCCTGCCAGTCATTCCCCCTGCCTGGGGTAAGCTGCGCTGAGCAAATTCTTGCCCAAACTGCTACAAAGAACCACCGTCCACCCTGAGTGCTAACAGGGTGCGTCAAATCGCCATTTCCCCCTGACCGGAAGCCCCTTATATGTAACATTTCCAATTGGCAGACCAAACCGTCACATGTAAGAATTTGTAACTCTGCTACTGTAACAGGTGCAGTACAATGCATTGAAAAACAGTTCCAGTGGCATGATAGATCTTAACTTGAATTTAAACCAAAAGTGGAAATATATTCAATTCAAAATTCATGAGACTTATTAAACTCAGAAAGGTTTTTTAGAAAAGGCTCTAGGACCCAGGAGGGTATAGTGTTCTGTCCTAAATCTACCTTCGTACCTAACATCAGTGAGCCTTCAATTGCCACATTTGAATGATTGGTCCTTAGGGATGTAGAATGGGCTGAAAGTAATTTTAGGATGTGATGGCAAAACATTTCTAAGGATGAGCGTTTGGCACTGAGTAATTTGGCTAAAGACAGCTCAATTGTAGAAAAACAAGCCGATAAAGGTGGGGCCATTGCAATCCAAAATAGATCTGACTACATGATGGAAGTGAGGAGACACCTGGATGATCAGACCAGCTATCACTCTCTTAGATCAGACCCCTGTATCCTGGAGACCAACCAATGGTCCACAATAATAGACTCTCTGTGCCCTTTCTGTTGCTAAAAGACTTCTGTTTCATTACATTTATCTGGAAAGATAAATGCCCACCTCCAGTAACTCAATGGATTGGACCTTACAACATTGTAATGTGTTACATATAGATGACAAAAGGGAATTAGATAAGCATATGGAGCAGAGGTCCATCAGTGGCTATTAGCCACAAGGTATAGATAGGGACTCTGGGGCAAGTGATGCTCTGTCTTCTTGGTGCTTGGGGGGGGGGTCAACAGTGGGAGGGCTTCCAATGTCCTGGCCCCACTGGTGGACCTCCTGATGGCACCTGGTATTTCTGGCCACTGAGTGACACAGAGTGTTGGACTGGATCCTTTGGCCTGATCCAACATTGGCGTCTCTTATGTTCTTATGTTTATGTTAATATTCTGTCAGCTCTCATTGGTCACTCTGAGGGAGAGGTGGAACCTAACCTGTCCATCACACCTTGATAATTGCTGACTCACAGATAAATTGACCCCACTCCCCCATAGTCGGGTTCCATAACATGTTTGGACCCAGTGTCACATAACATGTCATCCATGATTATGAAAGGTACTCCATTATACAGTTACAATGGCTGTGCAAGCCAACATGTAATTTTGTCCTATTTCTCTCCAGGTATTGTTTTTGCTAATGGCGAAAACTGGAAAGTGATGCGCCGGTTTGCAATAACCACATTACGGGACTTCGGAATGGGCAAGAAGACCATAGAAGACAGCATTATCAAGGAGTGTCATTTCCTGATACAGAAGTTTGAATCTTTTGAAGGTGGGTAAGGTGTTTTTATCTTTGCACTTGGGAGGCATCAGAAATACCTGAGCCATACTTTGTTGTGGTCCAGTCTAGAATTCCCTCTCTGCACACTACAGCCAGGGCCGGCTCCAGCTTATTTTGCACCCTAGGCAAGGATCCCTTCTGCCCCCCCCCCATGCGCCCACCACTTTTCAAAAATGAAAGCATTTTAGGAAGAATGAAAAACACAAATAATCAAGAAACTCCCAGTTACGGGGCCTGGTGCCGTTTGGTGCCCCTAAGGGCCGTCCCGCTCTAGGCGATCGCCTAGTTCACCTAGTGAGTGAGCCGGCCCTGACTACAGCCTGATTCTGTCCAAGCACAAAATGAACAATAAACGCTACCCAACCATACTCAAGGTGATGCACGAGGCACAAGTGATGCTGCTGTTCATTCCATAATGTAATGTTTAAATTTTAATATTCTTTTGTATAGGAAAACCATTTGAGACGACTACAATCATGAATGCTGCCTCTGCCAACATTATAGTGTCCATATTACTCGGCAAGCGATACGAATATGAAGATCCTACTTTTGTAAGACTACTGAACTTGTTCAATGAAAATACCCGTCTGTTGGGAAGTCGCTCAGTCATGGTAAAGTATTTTAAATATGGTTCTACAGTGGTTGAAATTCCAGTGCAAGAGGTATAGACAGGACTGTGCACATTTATGCCTTTAAAGTCTCACTGCAGAAACTCAAGTTTTCAGGGCTGGTGCAAGGCTTGATCTGAGAAACTTGCAACCAGTGTTCCCTCTAAGCTGAGTTAGTGTGAGCTAGCTTACAGTTATTTAGCCTCCAGCTCATACTTTTTTTTGTCTTAGCTCAGGAAGGATGGCTCCAGAGCAGACTAATTTATGCAGTAACCAAATCGCTCAGTCACAACTTTAACGCCAGTAGCTCACAAAGTAGAATTTTTGTTCACATGGGGAAGCATTGCTTGCAACTCATGTGAAACATTTTCAAAAATAGATGGGGCAGTCCTTTTAAACCTGTACCAGTTTTAGGGTTCCCAGGTCTCATGCTGCAGTGGGAGAGCAATAGCAATAGCAGGTGAAAAAAAATTAAAAGATGTTGGTGTCACACACCACATGAGTGACATCACTTTTTGGGAAAACTTAGAAGTGACATCATGTTGCTCTAGGAATCGGCAGAAACTCTATTGATAGATAGTAAAATTTATTGTGTAGCCATTAGCCATTACATTTTAAAACAATGTACAAATTACAAATTACAATGTACAAAAAAACTAAGATCATGGCATCCGGCCCCATCACGCCTTGGCAAATAGAAGGGGAAGTTGTGGAAGTAGTGACAGACTTCACGTTCCTGGGATCCCAGATCACCGCAGACTGTGACTGCAGCCATGAAATTAAAAGACGCCTGCTCCTTGGGAGGAAAGCGATGGTGAACCTAAACAGCATGATAAAAAGTAGAGACATCACCCTGCCCACAAAAGTCCGCATGGTCAAAGCAATGGTATTCCCAGTAGTCATGTATGGCTGCGAGAGGTGGACTATAAGGAAGGCCGAGCGCCAAAGAATAGATTCTTTTGAACTATGGTGCTGGAGAAGACTCTTGAGAGTCCCTTGGACTGCAAGAAGATCAAATCAGTCAGTCCTAAAAGAAATCAACCCTGACTGTTCCCTGGAAGGCCAGATAATGAAACTGAAGCTCAAATACTTTGGCCGCCAAATGAGAAGGGAGCCTTCAGTGAAGAAGACCCTGATGCTGGGAAAGACTGAAGGTCAAAGAAGACGGGGACGGCGAAGGATGAGATGGTTAGACAGTGTCATAGATGCAACGAACATGAAGTTGAGCAAACTTTAGAGGACGGCGGAAGACCGGAAGGCCTGGCGGGATCTTGTCCATGGGGTCGCGAAGAGTCAGACTCGACTGTGTGACTGAACAACAACAACAAATTAGACAACTTACAGCACTGGGATTTGAATTTAAATTATTGCAACCGCTAAAAAACTGCACATTCTGTATTTAAATTAATTAAAATTTTCAATATAGACGCCCATCTCCAGAAACACATGCACAGCCTCAAACATTTCCGTTTTACAGTTCAATTTCATGTTTCTGTGTTCTTGGCCCTGATTTTACTAGCCGCTAAGGCGAGAGTGCTACCCTATAGGAAACTGTAGGGTCTTCGTCTGACAGCAGAAATGAAACTCTATGGCAAAACCATAAAGTTTCTGGTGATTCCTAGAGCAGTGTGACATCACTTCTGTTTTTCTCTGAAAGTGATGTCACAGTGCACATGACATTGGTGCCCCATGTCCCCATCCCCCAGACTCCTGGTGGCCTGGCAACTCTAAGCCCACTTTGGAACCGAAGTAGAGGATTCCATGGCATGTTCCTTCTTCTGTCTAAAACTCCTTGCAATGTGAAGATGGCAATCAGGGAGAAGGATTCAAGTCCAGCTTTCTTCATGACAGCCCCATGACTCTTATGTAGCTCCCCTTTTAGCCAGTAGGTGGGTGCGAGTAGCCACGTACATGCATCCAAGGAGAAGGGCATTCAGAATCCATCCCGAGAACTCAACCATCATTCGTGGTAACTTAGATTGTACTGTTTCCAGTAGGCACCTTTTGTTTGGTGTAGGGGTTAAGAGCGTGTACCCTAATCTGGGAGAACCGGGGTTGATTCCTGGTTCCTCCACATGCAGCCAGCTGTTGTGACCAGTGTTCCCTCTAAGCTGAGTTAGTGTGAGCTAGCTCACAGTTTTTTAGCCTCCAGCTCACACATTTTTGTCTTAGCTCAGGAAGAATGGCTCCAGAGCAAACTAATTGATGCAGTAGCCAAATCGCTCGCTCACAACTTTAATGCCAGCAGCTCACAAAGTAGAATTTCTGCTCACAAGACTCTACCACTTAGAGGGAACATTGGTTGTGACCTTGGGTCAGTCACAAGTTCTTTCAGAGTTGTTATCTCAAGGGCAATTCTTGGGAGAGCTCTCTCAGCCCCACCTACCTCACATGGTTGTCTGTTTGTTTATGTATTTATTTATTATATTTATACCCTGCTCATCCTGCGAACAGGCTCAGGGCGGCTAACAAAAGCGGTACAATGTACCTAATTGACATAGCCATAAAATTTAAAACTACATAAAATACATACTAACTCATATCATATAATAACATAACAGTTAACAATAAAATTCTCGCAATGCTGACAAATTAGATGGCGCGCTCTTCAGATCCAAGTCCACTAGTTGTGGGAAGGGGAAGGAGATTGTAAGCCGCTCTGAGGCTCCTTCAGGTAGTGAAGAGCAGGGTATAAATCCAGGGGTAATTTCCTGCAGGAGCGCACAGGAGCGGAGCTCCTGCAGTAAAGAGCCCAGGGGGCGGGCACATGCAACAAGCCCCACCCCCTGCTCCCAGCAGCCCTCAGTCAGAGCAAGAAGCAGCCAGGTAAGTTGCAGAGCCCCAGCCCCCCGGTCCAAAACAGTCCAGTGGCACCTTTAAGACCACGTTTTATTCAGGTACAAGCTCTCCCTCCTCTGTGAGGACAGATCTGCACATCCCCCCATAGCCAGCAATCCAAAACAGTCCAGTGGCGCCTGAACGGTGGGTGTTGCCTTCTGACACACTTCCGGTGATGTCAGGGGGTGTGGCATATGCAAATGAGTTATGCTAATGAGCTCCTGCACTTCTTTTTCTACGAAATGACCCCTGTATAAATCCAATCTGTTCTTCTTCTCTTCTTCTTTATAAATACAGAGCTGGGAACCATACAAAACCTGGTTGACACCTTTCCTTGAATAAACTTGATTGCTGCAGGGATAAAGGAGCCCCCCCTTTGTGAAGTAGAATATTATAATGGTGGAGGTTGCTCTCTGGGCAGTCTATGTAGTGAGCACCAAGCCTAACAAAAGCTTAACATGGGATTTTTCTGTGTCAATTTTCCCCCCTCTGTGAGCAAAAATGCTTCGAGATTTCTGCCTCAGCAGTAGGACTTGGGGGTCTCTTAATCTTTTCCTTTCTTGTATGTTATTCTTTCAGCTCTACAACATGTTTCCTGCTCTGGGTTTTCTCTCTGGTGGTCGCAAGACTGTCCTTAAGAACGTCAAGGAAATGCACGCCTTCATACAGGCCACCTTCATAGAACACCTCAGAGAACTGGATGTGAATGACCAGAGGAGCTTTGTTGATGTTTTTCTAATCCGACAGCAAGAGGTAACAGAGTTATGAAAACATGCTGATAATCAGAGTTGACCTCATCTCATCCAAAGTTTTAAAAGTTTGCATGTGAATGCACGAGCAAGTGTCAAGGAACCTAGCTTTTGGGGGAGGGAACAGCCTATCAAACTAACTGGGATTTCCTAATTTTCAACCATTGTTAATGTATAACATGAACTGTCTCTGTAGACAAATAGATTACCTGCAGGAGAGGAAGAAAATTTGCAAATTCACCATGAACAACTACCCCCTTTTGTCTCTGGGAAAAAAGGCAACAGACTTACTGTTTTAAAAATATAAAATTGGAGAATTCAGAGGAACTAACAGATTGAGGCAACAGCTTGTTATGTATGCGATTGCACAACACCACAATAGCAATTGTCCATTTATTTAAAAAGCTCACCAATCATGGGGGGGGGGGG